ATAATAGAAAGGCCTCAAAACGAATTGGGGGTCTGGGGGATCCTATGGCTGCTACTAAAATCAATAAAGGAAGAAGGGATCCTTCGGCTCTTATTGAATCCATAAGGACTTGCTTGGTCCAGCTTTCAAGAGAAAAGGAAGGGCAGGATCTTCAGCCTTTGCGCTAAACGGCCTGGACTTGAAAACCTAGTAGAAGCAATTGCAATCTAATAAAAGCTTTCAAACATCAATTAGAAAGGAATTTGATCAAGACTTTACCTTACAAGAACCGGCCGATTTTTTTACTTTATTGGGACCACCCAAATCAAATTTTTCGGAAAATACTTTATTGGACCCCCGCACTAATCGGGATTCGTCATTAAGGAAATATACTGCCTACTTAACTTAGGTAACCCTTAAATAATGTATTGCTGTATTCCCTACTACGTCCCAGGAAGCGTTAGTACGTACCTGTCCAGCGGATAACCTTGAACTTTTCTGCGCAACACACTGCCCCGATGTAGCCCGAAAGGTTAACCATGAAAAGGAGACAGGTGCGGGACACTAAAAAGGTGACCAGAAAGAGTCATATATCCTTTGATATAGGGAAATATACTGTTACAGACAGACCAATATCCCTTGATATTGGGAAGTATAGCTTAAAATCATATTCGGGATCCCTATTCTGGTTTAAGGTATACTTCCTAATTAGAGGATATTGAGCTTTCTGGGTAGTAGCTCTAGGACGTCCATTTGTTTCATCATTGCTCCGCTTGCCCCACCATGTACAATCTGTAACCCCAAATCGCTATGAATCCGTCTGCCCAGCATCAGTCAGGACTCCGGCAGGAAGCCTTAAAGCCTCTTGGGGTACTAGAGTTTAGGATTTGGGGTTTAGGGTGTAGTGTTAGAGCCCCGCTGAAGCCGCCCCACTGAAGCCGGGTTTAGGGTTTAGGGGTATGCAGCTTCAAGCCCAAGAGAACCTATTCCTCAAGCATACCTCACACAACCCCATGCAACCTCTAACCTCGCCGCAGATCCCAGACAACTGGCAACGTATAAGAGATTCCAACTTAAAGTCAGCGCATCTTCTCTGCACAAGTTCCACATACGTGATAGAGGTCATGTTAGTTCCTTGCCATCCCAGCCGTATGCCTTAACCTTTATAAACCCTAAAGCCTGCATCCTAAAAATGCTTCCATTTGCTGTTCCTAAAACCTATAGTCCCCCTTAAGTAGATAGAATATGGGGTATATGGGGATCCTATTATAATATACCCAAAGCCATATTCTATCTACATAAGGGGGGCTGTAAGCCATTCGCCCTAAAAACCTTCAATATCCAGCGAAGTGCAGGCTAACAGGGCTATTGCTCGAAGGTTGTCGTGTGGCCACAGCCTTAGACCCTTTCCCACATAGGGGGTGTAGGGTCTAAGGTTTAGGGTTTAGGACATTGGGACCCAGAATTTCCATCTATAGTATGGCATTTGGGGGCCTAATTCCCTAATAGTTGTATATATGGACCCTCTGGGTTTGTGTCGCACAAAACTGGAAAGGAGGGAGGGCTCCTTCATCGGTAGCTCTGTGTAGCCGTGGGACACGCTCAGGGTTGGCCCAGAATAAGCTGACACTAGTTAGCCAGGTGAGCCATAGTATAAACTCCTAGTATCCGCCTGAATAGCCCTTATAATACTCCCCTACATAATCCCCTACGGAATCTCCTTCTAGCAGTCTGGACCATAGTTGGAGTGCTGCTTATGTTCAAGCGGTTCCAGGACAGGTTGTGGCCTCGCGGTGGAGCCTCTCTGGCCAGTATTGCTATGGAAAGCATAGGCTCGAAACTTGAAACGCTCTGTCGCAACTTCGCTTTCCACTGCCTTTTAGTCTGGACACAATATAAACCAATAATCAAATTGCACAAGAGCATGGGAATACAAGGATCCTTACGTCAAGCTTATGAACGTCCCACATGCTTCCATACAGTAGCACGCTAGCTGTTCGGGGCTCCCCACGAAGCTCCGCAAGGGCTGCGCGCTGGCGATCCAGGATTTCGCCGATCGAAGCCAAGAACGCCAAGAGCCCGACAGCGCTTAATCTCGGGTCTATACCCTATGGTAGTTTCCCAAAATGAGGGGGCCCCAAGTACTATAGTCCTTATTACAGGGACCCCCAAATGGGTACCCCTAATTTTGGGGAAATACTATATAAATAATGCCTGCATTGGGCCCTAAACCCTATAAATAATACTTACATTGGGCCCTAAACTCTATAAATAGTACCTACATTGGGCCCTACCTACATTGGGCCGTAAACCCTATGAATAATACTTACATTGGGCCCTAAACCCTATAAATACTACCTACATTGGGCCCTAAACCTTGCGAATAATACCAAATAAAACCTACATTGGGCCCTAAACCCTATAAATACTACCTACATGGAGCCTTAGGGCTGGTGCTTGCACAGCTGGAAAAGGTCGAGTATACTATATTATACTATGTTTTACTATACTTGCCTAAAGTACAGTATATTACATAATATTTTACATTATACTATAATAAAAAGGTACGGGTTGCTAGGGTTTACAGCATCTGTGGGGGCTGTCAGGTTCAGAATTTCCAAGGTTATGCAAGCGGTCTGCTGGGTCTATCCAAGCAAGAAGGGGGGCTAACATGCCTGGGGCGAACTCACATAGGGTTTATGACCGCATGTTCCATGTCATTTTCCGTTTTCCGGTACCCATTATATCCGTCAAGAAACAAGAATCCCTAAACTATATTCCATAACCCTCGATGGTATCATGCGGACCCCGAATAGGTACCCCTAATTTTGGGAAACCCCCCAACCCTAAACCCAATCCCTATAAACCCTAAACCCATAAATTCCATAACCCTCGATGAAGCTGTACGGGTTGCTAGCCTCGCCGGTGCGTATCGCCTCGTTAGATGCGCGAACATCCTGTGCCAGGGGTTAGGGTTTAGGGCTTATCATTTAGGGCTAGTGTTTAGGGGGAGGCTTTGGGGGACATAGTCAGCAGGTTGATAATTCAGGAATGGAAAAAGCAACGGAAACTATCATATTCTTTGGGTTAAAGGTTTAGGCTACGACTGACATGGTAAGCAGAATAAGCATGGAGATTACTCAGATTTCTTTATGACTTGTGGGCGGTTACAAGTATTGTTAGCAAGTCCTCTCGACCCTCCAAGTACCCTCCCTCAAACGAGCATGCAAGCCCATGATATAGCCACCGTACCCTCCCTCAAACGAGCATGCAAGCCCATGATACAGCCACCCTTTAAACGGTCTAGGGCCCTCATGGGCTGCCATGTTCATTTTCAGGAGGGCCCGCGTTTCAGGTGTAAGGTTCATAGTTTAGGGTGACTGCATGATTGGGTACTTGCGATTTTGGTGCCCTGAATCTCGGTATCGATCCGAAATGCTCAGGGCGCTGTTGCAAAGAGAAATCACTGCCCCAAACATGGAACCTCAGCACGTGCCTCTTACAAACTCTACCATCCTTCTAAAAGGGATGTGTGCGGGTTCCGCTGATTGTTGGGTTGCTTTAGCAGGTGAGCTTCTTCCCCAGGTGGTCAAGATAAATCCGCGCACTGTCCGTACGCCCCACTTGCAGTAACCTACCACCGTAACAAAAAAGGTAAGTAGTAATGACACTAAAGCAGTAGTTGCAAAGCCCTCTTCTTCAGGGTACAAGGTTTAGTCTTGGTAACCGAAACAAACAAGAATGCTTCTTCTGGGATTCTGCATATGGTTGTTTCCAGAAGTAGAGGGATCCAATGTAGACCCCCCAAAAACTATAATCCTCATTACTGGGACTCCCCCCCAGAAAAGTAATCCCTGAGTTTGGGAAACCACCATATTAGGTCAGCAGCTTGGATTTTACAATCACTGCAGGTTGATACCAAAGTTTGGGCCCCTTGAGAGGTGATTATAGGGATAGACATAGAGGCGCAAAGGGTAATGGAAAAGAACACGGAAACTCGTGCGCATCATTTCGGGTTTAGGATTGAGTGCGTAGTGTTCATGGCTCAGGTTGCTTCATAGGGAACGGGCGAAGGGATTCTAGGGACTACTATGCAGGATTGTGTTAACCATTTGTCAGGATCTGTTCCCGTATTCCTACGAACCCCCAACTAGTAATAGTATTCCTATACGGGAATTCTCTGAAAAATGCTTGTTTCAGACCCCTACAGGTTCCACCACCTGGACGACACCCTAAATCCTACTGACCCTAACACCCAAAAACCCTAAACCCTCAGTCCGGTTCCCACCTCTGCAATGAAAAACGGACTATTTGTGCAGCCACCTTCAAATGGTAGTTTCCAGTTGAAGGGGAAAATGCTGCAATCCTTCCTGTAGGGACCCTCCACAAAGTACCACTAATTGGGGTAAACCTCCAATTCTAACCTGTAGCTTAAAGGTTCCTTGCTTGCAATGTCGCTGTTTATTGCGCGAGGGACCCTTCCAACAGCATGTGACCGCACCACTCAATTGATTGCGGCGGGTCCGTTGAAGTCGAATGGACCCCTAGTAACCAACCCTGCCACCTTAAAAAAGAGATGCTTCCCCCAAATCCCAGCCTGTAAACTGATAACTTCAAACCTCAAACCCCCAATACCCTGAGCCTTCAACCCCAAGCCCCGAGTGCCCGCACAAAACCTTTGACCTAACACCTTAAACCCCAAATCCTATAACCAGAGGGTCCAACTACCCAATTCTTGGGTCTTGGGGGCTTTGTTAATAGGAACTCTAATGTAGCTTTCGGGGTGTGTGTATGTGATGCGTAGGTACTTGGACCCCTAGAGAAACTCTGTACCTAGAATCCTGCCGGCCCGAAACACCATCCCCTGAACCCTATAGTTCCCCAATCAATTAGATAGAATATGGCTTTGGGTATATTATATATTGGAGTAATACAAGGATAGTGGAAAAGACAATGGAAGCTACTGTAGGATATTTGGGTTATATATGGCGTTGGTATATTATGATAAGATCCTCATATACCCCACATTCTATCTACTCAAGGGAATTGTAAACCCTAAGCCCCAAACCCTGAACCCCGAAGGCCAGCACGCAAAATCAGAGCAGCAAGCCTGGTCGTAGAGACGGATCACGCAGTCCTCTCCACTTTCTTACGGGCTTAATGAGGGCTTAGGGTTTTTAAGTTTAGGGCTTAGGTCTTAGGGTTTAGGGTTCAATGCCTCAACTTGCAGCGGGGAGTGGGGGAGTGGATCCGTGTAATACTTCGTGTGACATCTCCTAAAGTGAGTAGTGCTTTTTTGGTGGTTGAACCTAGTAAGATTATATTCCTTATATATAATGCTATACCCCAAAAGGAGGATATAACCTTACTCTATGTTGGGTACCATAGTATCCCCAATT